TTCTTCCAGACTGAACCGTGACCTCTCGGATGCTGCGTGCAAGGCAGGGAGCACTTGCCGGCCGGGCCATCGAATTTTTTTCCTCGAATTCTCATCTGGCATCTCAGCATCTGTAGCACAAATCAATACCCAACATGTTATAAGTGGACACTGGGCCCTCAGACGCGCGAATCATGCAAAAGAAAACGTCGTCTCCTCGGCCGTCTCCCCAACAACCTGGTAACGAGGCTCGACACTGTGATACACATGAAGATTTAAAGAGCCCGATATTGCACTCTCTGCATGGCAAGATCAAGCTTGTACCCACAAGCTTTAAACCCAAAGACCCGAACTCCGAAACGACTTGGGGCTTGTTGAGGTTTGATGTCTCAATTCAGGGGCTTCCAGGGAGCTGCTGGAAATGTACTGAGGGTCTAGAGGTATTTGATGGGTTCAAGGTTCCTGCTGTGCTTGATGCAGGCGTATACCCACCGTCGGAGGGGCTGCAGGCAATCAATACATAGGCATCGTTTCTTCAAGTATACTGCTGCTTCTGCCTTCCCATTGTCCTTCCATAACGTTTTGGGCTTGGGGGCAAAATGTAATCGTTTGGGTTTTGCTTTGATGGAGCTCACAGTCCCCGAGGAAGCTTGCTAGGCGAAGATACACATATCGGCTGCTAGCATACCACAACAACTTCTGCCACTACCGCTATAACAACGACTGTGGCAGCACATTAAATTGTCTTGAGGTGTTGAGGCTTGTGAAGTGCGGATTTTAGGGCTGAACAACCCTTCATTCTGGCCTGATCCACTTCTCGGACGCGAACTCGTCGTCCTTCCTTAGCGGCATCTTGTTGCATGAACTTAAGGCCGGAATGCTGGAGGCCTCTCGAGCCAAAGGGCCATGGAGCCAGACTGACAGCACATGACGAACGAAGCGCAGTGACGCCAACGACAGACACCTTTCGAAGCTTGGGAGATGATCGGGAGCTCTGTGAGCAAACCGCCAGTGATGCATTGGGTTTTAGGTCTAGGGACAAACCGTCCTTGTACCCGAAGGATTGCAATGTTCAGGGTAAAACCCTAGGGCCGTACATCCAACACCCACTACCCAGAACCCCGTGGTTGGCATCTGGTTTGTTTGGGGTAGGGCCGCGAAGTGCTTCGACACAGCAAAACCAGAACCGCCTCGACTCAGTTTTGGCATTCATGCAGGACTACTTCTGTTTTAAGGCTCATTGTGCCTTCCTGCCGTCCCCGAAACTGGCATGCAGCGGAGCCTCCTCCCTTAAGCCGGAATGCCAGGATTCGATTTCATGTCTAGGGCTGCCCAACTGCTCAGAAGCCAAAGCAACCTGAAGGCTTCAGCCTGTTCTTCTTCCTCGGCAGAGCGTCCATCTCGTCAAGTTGAAACTTTCGGTTCCATGGCCAACGGAGCGCCTCGGCTTCGTTCACCTGGGTGAAGAGACTTCTGGGCTTTGGGCTTTGGTCTAGGGCCGGGCGGTACGATCTTTCACCTACCCCAGCTCTGAGCCCTTTCTTGTGATATTTTCCGGAAGCTTTGGAGTACAGACGCTACTGCAGGGTGGCGTCAGCTTCTAGTCATTTCAAGCAACCACCAAACCTCTAAACTCTAACCACGAGAAAAAACACCTCACTCAGCCCTGAGCCCCCATACCTGCTGCTTGAGTGACCCTTGTGCTTTTGCATGAAAAGTTTCCGTAGAACTGCAAGGCCCAAGTGGTCTGTGACCTAGAATCCACGAACCATCTACACCACTCACAGCCTGCTGAAAACTGCGAACAGTCTGCATACCCTCTGCATCCTGCCTGAATCCTGCCTCTAACACCTGACTGGTTGAGCTTGCCGGGCATGGCGGTTTAGCAATTCCCCCAAAACCTCTTCCAAATATTCAGGCCCCGAGCCCCGAAGCCAAGCCGCGCAGCTTTTAGGGCTTAGAGGTAGTGGATGTAGCACAAGGTGTTTTCACCAAGCCGGGGAGTGGCCCCGTTTCTGACGAGTGTTCTTCTACTCGTAGATTGTGGTGGCGTGCAGGTATCCTCGAAAGTTGACGCTCGGTGACTGCCCAATCCAAATATATGTATATATGTGTATTTATGTGTGTTTACGAGTGTAAACTGATGTCACAGGCAATCATTGATTGAAACCTACAGGGCGCAAAGTAGTCACAATTGTGCCCCACAACCAGTGTTGTGACAATGCGCAGGCTTTTGTCTGAGAGCGACGACGCAGGCTGCCCTGAACGTTAGCACACAAAAGGAAAGCACAGGCGAAGCACAGACCTTCGGTCAGTGCAGGCTGGCAGCAAGCTCTCAAGCCCCCCAAAGTAACAGGGCGGGTGGGTGGGAGAACTTGAGAGGAGACATTTCATGAACGGCTGTTCATGCACATGATGTGAAAAAAGTTCGCAGAACACATATCACAATTGTGCCCCACAGCCAGTGTTGTGACAATGCGCAGGCTTTTGTCTGAGAGCGACGACGCAGGCTGCCCTGAACGTTAGCACACAAAAGGAAAGCACAGGCGAAGCACAGACCTTCGGTCAGTGCAGGCTGGCAGCAAGCTCTCAAGCCCATATTGCATCGTCAAAGTGGCAAACTGGCGGCACGCCGAGGGCGCGCATCATGCGCATCAGCTGCTTTTGGGGCGGTCCCAAACCGGGCCGTTTTTCGACCCACAAACTCCCGGTTTGGGGCTCTCCAAACCGGGAGCCGGAGCTAGTTCCCAAATCTGGCTCGCAAGCAAAAGTTTTCCGAACACTCAGCAGACTGCAGCAGTGCGTCGGCACCGGCCCGAGCGAACAGCTTGGGATAAGGCTGGGCAAGGTGAGTCCACAGTTGCTTCGAGCGGGGATCTTGCCCTCTCAAAACAATGTGGAACTTCTTGGAGCGGGAGCATATCCCCCCCCGCCCAGAGCAGATAAGGCACAGATCGTTGTCTGACTGGACGTGCCAACCTTGTATACGCGTTTGTTTACGCCAACGAGCACCAAACTGACACAAATCAGCGATGAACTCTTTGGAACACTTCTTCGCGCATAAGGTCTGCAGTCTGGGAACCAACCAAAGCATGGAAGCAACAGGATTTTCAAGATAGCACGGAATACCGAAATCAACAGCGAGTTTAATAATATCACACGTGAAACTCATGGTGCGATCATCAAGGCTGACCTTATGTCTGTCAGAAAAGGGCAGCCCTGAAACACCAAACAGCTGAGATTCCTCACGGAGCGGTCTCCATGAAGCTCCGGATGAATCAAACCTAGCCCTACTCCAAGAGGTACTAGGAGTGGCCAACCATATCCCACGGATACACTGTCCTTTGATCCACCCCTTAATCAAATTAGCGATAGGAGCATCACAAACGTTGAGGCGTGGATCTAAGCAGGTGTCAACGGAAATGCAGCCATGGCCTTTGTTTCTGAGAGCACGAGAGAGGCTGCCATCACCGGAGAAAAGATCGAGGAAAACCCGACGGCTGCCATCATAGTTGGTAGCGATGGCCGTCTTGAAAGCACGTTTCAGCACAATTTCGCCACTCAAGCTTTTTGGGAACTTCGGACGAGCTTGGGCTTGCTTTTTGAGGCGCTTGGTGACTGTGGAGTTCCAGCCCTCGGGGTTGGACACTGAAATTGTCCCATCAGGAGGCCAGGAAGTCGATGGATGACACTTGAGCCGTAGTCCCTGATGTGGGGAGGGATCCGAGCCAGCTCCGTTTGCATCTTGGCCTGCTTCACGTAGCGCTTCAAGGAACTGTCTGCTGCCCATCGCCCCCTTTGTTTTACGTCGAGCAAGCTGCGGCGTTGGGAGAGGACGTCGTGGGTTGCACCTCCGTGTCTCAGGTTGTAGAGCTGCCAGCCCATGTACCCGAGGTTGAGTTTGTTGATGGCCGCGTGAAACTTCGAGTTCAACTCGCTGTGTGAGTGGTTCCACAACTCCTGGTTCGGGCCCTTCCCTGCTTGGAGTCGGCGAAGCAACGGGTCCATCCAGCCATCCGAGTCCAGGAGGACGGAAGCATCGAAGCCGTTGGTCTTCCCTGGGGTCCCATCTTCTATTGGGTGCAAAAGAATTGCCCAATGCGAGAACGCTTGACCGGCCAGCGCCGACATTTGAGGAGGCACAAGCTGCTTGCAGAGAAGCGTGGAGCACTCCCCCGGCCTCAGGTAGCAGCTGAACTGAATGAAAAGCCTCAGCGCCAGTTCGAGGCTTCCTTCTGCGATCATCACGCCCATAACGCATCCCAGCCCCTCGAGAGGAATGGGGAGCCGTTGACGAGCTGGAGCAGCAAGCGACCAGCCTTTTAGCGCCCGAGTTGTCCTTGGAAGTAGGTGCCCCGTGCTTCGCCCCAGCTGCGGATGAAAGAACTTCACTGCAGCAAGGGCCCTGACCCCGGAATCTATCCCCAGTCCCAGATCGAACAACTCGTTCACATACTCCACCAATGCATTGTCGAGGAAAAGAAGGTCCGTGACGAAGGCTATTGCGACCCCCAGCCAAATTTCGAACTGCTTCAAACGGCTTTGATAATCCACCAGAGTGGGGCGCCGGATACTCCGAGTTTCGAGGTACGTGAGGGTCTGAGGGACCTTGGTTGACCTTTTCACCGAAGTCCTGCGGGCCAAGGTGCGCGAACGGTTCCTTGCTGAGGACGTCTTCAACCGTCCACCATTTGGCATGCTTCAAAGATACCCGCTGCTGGATGGCCCGGGAGGGGGCATCGGCAATGTTCAGTTCAGAAGGAACCCAGCGGACATGTAGCTTTGAACCCGTGGCAAGCCCAAGTGCAGCAAGTCTTCTCAAAGGACTCAAAAGGAAGCGAGATTTACCCCGACCTTTGGTAGCACTGAGGACCAACGGAAGATTATCACTGAGACATAGAAGTCGTTTGCAAAGGTTTCTGCTCGACCTGAGAAGATGCTCAGCTGACCACACTAGAGCACGCGCCTCAGTATTGAGGATGTTGGCTTCGAACTCCCAGGGACGTGACCAAACAACTTTCCAAGCGTCCTTGCGCAGAACACTTTTTGGCACCTCGTCAAAACCAAGCTCTCTGATGAAACTCGAAATGCCCAAGGACTCGTCACGGATTGATCCGACGCTCGAGTTGGCTGAAAAGTTAGCTTCATGAGTGTCGTGGTTCAGTGCATGGTCCCTCGCTCGGAGTGCGTCCTCAAACTTGAAGCGCCAACGCTCACTGCAACCTCCAATGGCCTCGACCTCGCCTTTGTCTAAAGTCCTGTGGCAAACACCCAGCCCCCAAGGCGACGAATCACTAGCAGTAATGTCTTGACTCCATCCACAGTTGATCTTCATACGAAGAAGTGGCAGGATGGCACTGAACCATTGCAACTCCTTACGCACGCTACGCCACAATCGACATGAGCGCTCGCCATTCTGGTGCACGAACGCATAGCAAGAGTTCAAGAGGGCAAGAGATTCTCTTCTCCCCATGCTGGCCCATGTCAAGTGACCCAGTATAAGCTGCAACACTCGGCCACTGCAAAACTGCTTTTGAAGGAGGTCATCAATGGCAGATTTGATCTTACGAATCCGGCTGGGTTTGATAGAAACAAAACCGCCATAACCATTGAAGTGAAGACCGACAAAATCCCCCTTTGATTGAGCCTCCTCAAGCTCATGCACCGTCAAGCCCCAGCCCCTCAGCACATCGCTGATGCGGCGGAGGCCTTAAATGACAGCGACAGGGCATGTACCAAATACACCGTAGTTGTCAACATACCCAGCTGCTGCTATATCGCCAGAACCAAGAGAAACACTCCGACGCTTGTCACCTATGATATGCTGCTGGTCAAATCCGGCAAGTTCAATGGCGTGACATAACACTTGTTGGCAAAGATGAAGTGCCCAGCTCCAGCCCATTGGCAATACTTTCAAATACGGCGTGACCTGAGTTGACGGCTCCACCATGCCATCTTCAGCGGCAGCGATGCCAGCGTGTCTGGCCTCAATGCCGGGGAGTGTGAACATGTGGGCGAGTTCGTCAGGTACTGCCAGGGTGTAAAAGGCATTCGCCAAGTCGCCAGATGCAAGGTAAAATGGAGTGTTCTCGGGAAGACTCATACGAGTAAAAGCATCAGCAGAGGGAAGATCAGTGTTTGGAGCGTCATGAAACTTCATATTGAGCCGGCGGGTGTCAAATATGAGCCGCAATTGTCCGGATTTTTTCTTGACAAAGAATACACCGAGCATACTGTCATAATCACTGTGTCTGCGAAAACCAATCATGTTGCGATCAGCAAGCTCACGAAGAAAGTCCCCATACTCCACCGTGTTATTCTTAAGGATAGGATCGATGTAAGGAGTAACTGGCGAATCCTCAAAGGTGCAGTCGTCATCGGGTTTGAGCATATGCAATCGCCAAGCCCCAAGCCTTTCTCGGTCAGCCGGAGATAGGCACTCCAGCAAAGAGACTGGATGTGTGCTCACCTCGGGCCAGGATATATTATCCTTGGCATAGGGCATCACGTCACTGCGCCCACTGTCATAGAGGCGTGACGAAGAACAAAGTCCCCGAATACCATCATTTGGAACACCAGAACCAGACTCGCCGTAGGCATCCCGAAAGGCATCAGAGATAAACTTAAGAACACGGCGCTGAGCACGTGTCGACTTCTTCTTCATGTGAAATTCTGAATTAACACACCCCGCGATCTCGTTGAGTGCTTTGATACCATGGTTAGCGAAAAGACTCCAATCCTCACCACTAGGGCCGGCGCCTTCATCACCACGGAGCTCAGGCAGAGGGAAGATGTTACGCTGACGCTGGCTAGCATCAGCAGCTCCCACTCCAACGCTGAAAGAAATGCATAAAAGAAATGTCAAAATTGTCCGAAGCGAACCAAGGATCAAGGGCGGACCTCGACAGACTCTCACTTTTGACTGCCTTCGTCCTTGTTGGATTTCCGCTGGAGTGCCCTCTCTTCCCTGGCCTTCCTCCGCTCCTTGGCTACCATTGCCTCCTTCTGCATCTCCGTTCCTATCCACTCGGTTAGCTTGGGAGATACAACTGAGCCCACCCGACTCCCAGCGACGGCCCCCATGAACAAGGCGTTCTCGCCAGCGTCGTCGGCCGCCGTGAGCTTGAACTTGTGCTTCTCCTCGATTCGCTGGATGGCCCTCGCGATTAACTCTGCTCCTGCCAAGTTCGTCACATCCACCTGATCGTATGTCATGAGAGTGTGAAGGACACGGCACCAAGCTTCGTGCTCCTGAGCAGGGCCGTCGTTTGGCTGAAATTTGCATGCCACCCGCCAAGCCTGGTGATGACCAAGGGCCGAGCCTCCATGATCCAACATCTGTGTGATAACATGCTTCACTGTACGGGGCCCACTGATTGGCCAGTCGCTGAAATCTGTAGCCTTCGACTCCGTGACAGCCACCCTGAACTCTTTGAATCTCAAGCCTGTGTCGTCTCGAGTGATTCCTAAGGTGCGTGCATCGTCGCCATCTGGAGGTGCAGTTGGGTCTCCCACTCCACCTCCACCCAGCGCAGCCACAAGACCGGCATGACCTCCACTTATTCCCGCTCCATTCGGCGCTGCAACTGGTGGTCCAGCCAAGTTTGGCACTCCGCCACCTGGATTGCATCCCCCGGCTGCCACCATTTGCCCCACACCTGAAGCACCGACCGGATGGCCTCCGCCAGCCGTTATAAGACCCAGCCTTGCCCGTTCCACCTGAGCATGCCGGTCTCCCTCGTCGAAGAGACGTTGCTGAGCAGCAGCGTCGGGAAGCTGCCTGAAGCCATGGATAGTGCCAGGGGCCACTCCGTAAGGCAGTGGCCCAGCCGGGTCGAAGGGTCGCCACGCCGAGATCTCGCGGCTGTTCACACCGATGTCTTCTATGTAAAGATCTCCCTGAGGAGTCAGAATGACCCACAGGGATTCGGAAACAGATGACAAAAGGAGTCGTACGTGCCATAAGTTCTCTGGCACGTGGTATTGGACGATAATAAACTCACCCCTCGATAGGCCTCCAAGAGGTGGCACACCCAAGTGCCCCCCGCTTGCCATCCAAGGGCCTTATGATGGTGGGTTCGGCAATCTGTCCAGCACCACGCCTGCGCCACAGGATAACACACCCAGATAGCCCCAGAGCAGCCAGAAAGACCACCCCGGCAATCGGGCCTATCTCGATATGTCCAGTTGAGCAGTTCACTGCGGGACACGTGAGTGAACCACAGGTAACAGAGCAAGCAGGACAGCTTCCCGGTCCAGCCCCCAAGAAAGTGAATCCGAATGCAGCTCCACCGAGGAAACTGATGGCGTGCGAGCTAAGAGGAAAATCAGACATCTCAGAACTTGAGAGGAGACATTTCATGAACGGCTGTTCATGCACATGATGTGAAAAAAGTTCGCAGAACACATATGCCGATGCAAGACAGGGTCGCTCGCCGTGCGCGAATGAGCGGACAACGATGAGATCCAAAGGGCAGCTGGAACCTCTGCTTCTGGGCAAGAGCTCCCTGGTTCAGATTTCGATGTCATGTCCAAATCCTACACATGCAATTCCAGCTGGACAAGACCTCACAGGCTTTCGATCCCGTGCATTCGCACGAAGCTGTCTTCTCCACCCACTGCAAACTGCGTTTTTCCAGAGGCCAATCATGAGTCTAAGCCCCAAAGATCGAACCCAAATCCTTGGATGCCCGCCTTGCACCCGAAATCTCAAACCGTCCTACGAGTACCATCAGTTGTAGGATTTCGGCATTGGGATTTGGGGCGGCTTGGATGGGATGCGACTACCTAACAATGGGCTATGCTGTCAAGCCTGAGCCAAGGACGAGATATGCCCCAACGAACCTCTGACTTATGGGAAAAAACCTGCTGCAAAGGCCGCTGAACTGTTTGGAATACTGACACATATCTAGCAGTTGCCGCCACAAGCAGGTCAAAGCAAAACCGCCCAAACCCGTTGCTATCGGCAGCTCGAGAAAGTCTTTCGTCTCATGATCTCTATCCGAAAATCCCAAATGCCCACCAAGACCACAGTATCTTTGAGCCTACCTGGAACTTCAATGCTCGAAGCTCCACACAAATCGCGCATTCCTCGCTCCGACTCCTAACTTCGGGGAAGCCGCTTGAAGAGCCTGTACACCGCCAGCCGACGGTTCCCTGGGCTGCCGTTATGCAAGGATCGCTGGAGGAAAAACCGCCATGTAGAACACAACTCAGACTCAGCATACATGGACGAAAGCGTGCCACGGAATCTGTCAGGGTTGACACATCGCAAGATTGCTGTTGCGCAACTACTGAACCTCATGACAGATCGAGCAACGAAGTTACTCCGTGACGGAACTGGTCTGGAGAGCCCTTCTTGACTCGTCTTTTTCAAGATATCATGGGCAACTTCCGTGACTAAAGTCCTTACAGAACCCCTCAACCCGAAATCGCGAACTGTTTCAGGATGTATCAGCAGCAGAAATCAACATACGGAATCCTACCATGAATAAGCTCGAGGGTTTCAGGGTTCAGGGCTCCAGGCTTTGGGTTTTACTCTGTATTTTGCGACATCTGGCTACGGGTTTGAGAGTTCTGGATGCTTGCTTCGATAGCTCCCGCAGGCCGCCACGATCTCCGAAAAGCCAACCAGCTACAGTGCCCCCACCAACTTGAAATCAAGAGTCCCCGAACGCGACACCCCAAACCCGCAATCGTAGATCCACCCAAAAGCCCTTCGAATCCAAGCCCGTGATTCACCATCTCGAGAGCAAAGTCGCCCATGGTGTGAAAATGGCCATGGTGCCATCGAACCTCGAGGAGTCTCTTCCCAGATGGCGTTCTTCCCATAAGTCATTCTTACTTTCTTGCTGTTGTTGCTGGCGTTTATCAGGCTTCAAGTCTTTTGCAAGAATCCCCGAGGACTTATTTATGAGCTGGCTCTGGATCTCACGGGAATCTGCTGTGCACAGTGTGCAAACAGCAGCTGTGACCATTTCAACCCCGAGCCCCCAGAACAGCTAAAGGACTCTCGTCTGCTTGACATCTGAAGCCGCATCCTCCGCTCCAAATCCTGATCTGCTAGTACTCAGAAGCCTCGCCTCCCGAAGTTTTCGCAGGTCTTGATAGACGGGATCCGGCGGCTCGGGGTTTGTGTGCTTGGGTCTATTTTCTCTCCTCAAAACCTGTACCTGTGCTAACCTTTTCATAGTCGAGTCACAGTCCTATATTGATTTCGACAGCTTTTAGAACAGCTACGGGGATCCCAGCTTCGGCGCAGGGACGGGAAGAGGACCAACTCTGCTGAAGTCACGCTTCCGCGCCCCTTGCCTGAGCAGGTTGAGGGCTTTAGGGTTTTTTGATCTACAGGATTTCGGAAATCAGGTCCAAGGCTTGGGGTGTTCGGGTCTAGAGCTCAGGACAAGCTTGGGGATTGTCTCCATGATTATCAAGCACATCCTTTCTTGATGGGTCCTGAATGCAAGGAGTCTAGGGCCTTCATACAAACCAGGAGATACTCTGCATAAGCTGTGGTGACCAACTGAAGGTTCTAGTAACTGAAGGAGAAGGTCAGCACAATAAGCCCCAATCCTCCTCCAGACCAAGCGCTACAATGTGCCCAAGAACCCCTATCTCACTCGCAGGCTTAAACATCTCATCCTTTCCCTGCGCTGCTGGAAAGAAGGCTGCGTGTTTCGGACTTTGTGAGACTTGGGCTCTCGGAGTTTTGGGCGTCAGGGCTTTGGTGTCTTGCTCGGGTCTTATGAAGGGTTGTCACTGTGTATCCTGATTCCACTATGTCTCGCGCGGGGTAGGTGGCCGTCTCCAGAGAACTTCGAGTCGATCCTTGGACGTGTCTGATGCCGCCGGGATGCAGTAGCTTCTTTACAGCCTCCTTCAGGGGCGAAGACGGCTTACTCCTTATTCCCAGAACTCTGGACCACGTTTGAACAATGGTTCTTAAGCTGGTTCCCTTCGAGCTGCCCCTCTCAAATCCTGGAGCGTCGGGTGTCCACAGCCAAGTGAGAGCCCGAGATTCCCTACCACACCCAACGACCAAATCTCGATTTCATGGATCAGGGAAATTTCTAGAACCTGTTTCAAGGAATTCTTGAACCTTCAAGTCAGTCCCCTTCTGTAAACGGAATTCCTTAGCCCAGCCCCATGCAGGCAACCAATCTTCCGAAGCCCGTTCATCAAGTGGAAGTATCCTATGACAAACGCTACCATTGCACTTTCTGCAACGGCGCGCATCCAAGACACATCTGCTGCGAATGACGTGCTTATTCATCGTCCAACACTTAGCAGCGGTAGGGGTCTCAGCAAGATACGGCTGTTGCCCTGCATTTGTGGATTACTTGGCCTCCTTGCTATGGTAAGTTTATTGCAACCATGATTCTTCGTCCAGGGGCAGTTCTGAACCCCCTGAACCCGCCTCCAGGGGCAGCCCGCTGCGGAAGTGTGGGCTGATTGCCGGGTGGGAGAATCCTTGCGAGGCTTCGGTGTTGAGGCTTTTGAGGCTTTTGAGGCTTGGGGTTTCCGCGATGCATCTGGGCTTCTTTGGGAATGGAGACCATGAACAGGAGTGTGCCACTCCCGCGAAAGGCCAGATGGCTTCTTGATGCATTCAGCTTGGGGCCTTGTTTGGGATCGGGTCGAAAGAGTCTTGGCTGAGCGTGTCTAAGGGCAAGGTTCCCTCCCCCAGGCAGGAGATGGCCAAGCATCGAACATCTGCAGGATCGATGAGGAAGGTCTCCTCCGGGCGGTGTGGGCAAGGACCATGTAGCACCGCAGACCTGGGCTCGAGCTCGAAACAGGGGCTTGGCTTCCATGATACAAGAACAAAACTGCTGACTGCTAGGAGTGCCTTGTGCTGCACTGTACATATACACACCCGTTGCGTTTTACATTTCTATCGGGGTTAGCAGGTCTCCGGCTCAAAGAGAGTTTGCGGGGTTGCAGTGGTGGCTTCTTTTGGAATCAATATTAGACCGCACATGGTACTGACTATCATGTAACGTACTCTCTCGTCTCGTTCATTGAATATCACGTGTTGCCCGAAAGATCTCGGATGGCCCGCTCGAGGCTCGCGACAGGTAGAAGACCGAAAACACACCCGTTGTGTCAAGGGCTGCAGGCTGCCGCTTAAGGCTTCATGTTCGGGGTTTACGGCTTGGGCCTTGGGTTCGTGCCATAGGGCTGCGACATACAACACGTCAGAGAAGTGGGAAACCTGCAGAGCGACACTGTTCAAGTGATCCTTCATGTTGCATCAAGTCTCCGCAGACTCTGAGGCTCCATCCGCAACAGACCTCGACTTGACTTCCGCCCTGAAACCCAGACCAAACCGCAAGATCCAAGCGGCAGTGTCTGCAGCACCTCATCCCCGAAGAGCTGCCAGATCTCCGAAGGACGTAAAGCCGGTTTCGAACTTCTTGCCTGGACAGCTCTTATGGCCCCTGCATTACAAGGCTTGGGTTGTGGGTCGTATTCAGATTGGAACAGGGAGAGTCTTGTGATTTAGGGTCGCTGTTTGAGAGTGGTCTCGGGTCGGTTCTTTCAGGCTTTTGTGGTCTCGGGTGTGTTGGACCCCACGGCTCCGGGCTTTTCAAGGGCCCTTTTGGTGAATGCCGATCAAAACATCGAGAAGCAGACTGATGGGACGGGGAGCCTTAACGACGCCTGGAATGTATCTTTGAACCTGTCACTAGTACACAGTCGTTTGCCCGCTACTTCGCGCAGTCTAGGACCAGGAGGGGTCTGTGGGACTTTCCAAGGGGCCTTTGCCAAGTCTTGGAGCTCCTGCCCCAGGCATGGCGGCTCCGGCTCCGCCAGGGCCGCCAAGGCCTCCCTGGCAGCTTGAGCCTGCCGTGGAGTCCCGTTCTGTTCGGCGTTCTCTTCAGAACTCTTCTAAAGCTGTAAGAGCCACACAAGTTTTTGACTCATCGAGGGCGGGAGTCGGAATGTGGATTTTGGGATGCACGAGTAGAGTGTTGGGAACTGCCGAGTCGAACCAGGTTCTAAAAGGCTCAATGGCAGCACTCGGGCTGGGCAGGACTTCAGATTCAGGCACTGTGCTGCGACTGGTAAAGGGATGTAAAGGGAGGTTTCAAAGAAGCCCAGAGCTTCGCTCCGTGGAGACCTTTTCTGGTTTGTGCAGGGTTTCCACAAGCTTTCAACACGGCTCTTACTCGTGTGTTTTGAGGCCTTCTACGACTTCTCCAATGAGGCTTGTGTAGGCTTTCAGTCACTTTCTGCTAGAGTTTGGGGACATTTGTAATCCCAAGTATGATCCTCGAGATACCACCCTAGTCTCTCCTGCTATAACCAAGCCGATTAGGAACCCCAGAAGTTTAGGTCTGCCATTGAAGAGGCCTAAGTGGGTGAAGCCTAGCAACTAACTATACATCCTAGCTTCAGAACCTCGTGGACGGATGATGCGGAGACAGGGCAAGAACTGAAACCTCTCCAAATCCAGCGTCCTTCAGTTTCTGGCACTCCTCCTTGCCATCGTTCTTCGCATGTGCGGACAGCTGCACGATGTACGCCGCAGCACCTGAAGCTGGAGCGCCACGACGACGTCCCAAACCCGGATGCGCAACAGCGGAACTCTGAAAGCCCGGGTGGCTCTCAGACCTGGCACCTGACCTCTCGCCCTTTGCATACGACAAAATCCCAAGCCCCTGACTACCAGAGATCTCGAAACCCGAAATGAGAGACATAGCGGTCCTATTTCGGGGCCTGCCTTGTTTTCTGAACTGCAAGTATGATGAAACGCCCTGGCACCGAAGAGGCCCTCGACGAAGTCCTCCTGGAGGTCTTTGCGGCTCTGCCTCCAGACAAGAGCTTCAGATGGTCGGGCCTTGAATTTCTTTGTCTTGGGTGTTCTGGGTGCAGTGTCCGGTGCAAGCGTGCGTGATCTATAATCCAGACACGAGGTGGGAACAACGAAAACCTCCAAAAGCCTCCTTCCAAGGAAAGCGCAAGGGACCTGAAGAGTGCCCTGCGGAGGTCGTTGCGCCACTGTCGGCAAAGATGCGCTCTGTGGTGGATTCTCTCGGCTTTCTCCTGCGGCCCGTTCTTTACTCTGTTTGTTCTGTCTATCTTACGGCTTGGAGACTCGGCTTCTCAACTCCATTCAAGGGTCGGTGGTGAGCCTGGGGTTCTTGACAGGGATCCTGCCGTTGGTGCTCCGGGAACTCTATTCGATGTAAACGACGCATCAACATCGTTTTTAGAATCGCTCTCGAGACGTTGAAGCTTCGTCTGCCGGGCAGCCAAGCGTAGCATGGGCCCCTAATCTGGAACCCTCTTAGCCCGGCCGGCAAATCAGACGGCTGGTTTGAGCTCATGTGCTTTGGTTCTGACTTTGCTCCTGCAGCTCGCCGAGCTTCGAGAGCACCAGGCCGACAGCTTGCTCAAGTTGATCGCGAGGATATGTCGGAAGTCCTTTCTCTCACTCTCTCTCTCTGGTGCAGGTACAGGTTTGCTTAAAGGGCTCAGGGCTTCTTGTTTGGTTCAGGGCTGACAAGGTCCAGGAGATGTAATTGCATATCTTATCTGGCTGCCCATTGTCGACCGTTTTTTAAGTCCTTTCAAACCAGGGCCTTGCGAAGCATTCGTGGCTTCTGTAGGCGTTCAAGATTCTTTCTGTATCACAACCTCTTAAGGGGCCAGTTATTCCCGGTAAGCCTGCTTGATTTACGGATGTTGGGGTCTTTAGGTGGTCACGCCGCTGGAATGCGATAGTTGATGTGCAGGGGAGGCCCTCTTTCCAAGCTCCACTTGCACACGAGGATGCAGTGTTGCAGGTCAGAACATTTCAATATATATATATATAGTGTAGTGGTATCTGTATTGTCATGTGTACATGTCCAAGACGTCTGCCGAGCATCCCAGCTGCAAAGGCGACAGGAAGCAAACGCCCTCGAAGGGTTCAAATTCAACCTCGAAGAGTGTTGTCTTGAACTGCATTAGCCGGCACCCATCGGAGGCAACCGGCTTTGAGATTTCGGGTGTCCTAAATGCCTACATGCTGTAAATAGAACGCCTGTGGCGATTCATGATTGGGGTGTGTTCGCTCTGGAGCGCCACCTTCCCTACCGCACTGCAAGCCGAACTCGTCCCCCTTGGTCGAGCCCTGCACAAGTCTCTGATCCGAAACGGGAACTTCCTAGTCATAACTTCTCTGCAAAGGCGAGAGCCTCTCGCCGAAAAAGCAGGCCGCAAGCCTTCCAAGAATTGTGTCATAGCGGGTTCGCACTCAGAGCCTCCTGCACTGAGGGTTCTCAGTAGTAGTAGTAGTAGTAGTAGTAGTAGTAGTAGTAGTAGGCACCCCCCCTACCAACTACACTTGCTCTCAACCATGTTAAGACAAGATCCATTTTACTCAGTATTTACGGCACTTTCGTCATGTGCGATCATCCTAAGAGGCCTAAAAATCGACTTGTCGAGTTTGCAAACTCGGGCTCTTGATTTTGGACTTGCTTCTGGGGGTGGGTGGGGGGGTGGGGGGGGGGGATGATGACGACAGTGTTACGCGAACACACCCAGCAGTATCAGCACAAGAGCCGTTTAACTCGGTATTTACGGTACTTTCGTGATGTCAGACTTTGTTACAAATTCTGAGCCCCTACTTCCCGACTATGCGTATTAAACTTTGCTGTTTGGAACTGTTTGCAAAAAAACTCGAAATTGGGTGGGGGAAAGCTTCTTCGGGGATGATCACGACACTGTTTTGCGGACACCCTGAACATTATTTCCACACTCAAGCGTGCACACACCACACACACCACTTCAAAAACAGACCCTCCTACGCAGAGGTTGGGCGGTAGGGGTGTTGGCGAGCCCCTCCCACGTACAGCTGGCATCTTTGATTTTGATGTTTAGAAGATGTTGCGCTTCAGGTTCTGAAAATGTTAAACCCTTCTTGGCAGCACCTGGGTTTTGCACGGTATTTACAGCGTTTTCGTACTATCCGACCACCTGCGGTTTAGCTGTTTCTTCCCCGTCGAGCTTGCAACTCCGGCTGCTGTCGCAGTTTTGGGGCCTGAGCCCTTGCAACTTCACCGGTTGTGACAGTTAAGGAAACGGAGCCTCTGCAACTTCTGCAGCTGTCGCAGATAGGGAGCTTGAGCCCGTGCATCTTCTGCAACTGTCGCAGTTAATGCCCCTAGCAGCTGCCGCTGCCCAGCCCGGATGGAACAAGTGTAGTTGGTAGGGGGGGGGTGGCTAGTAGGCACCCCTAGTAGTAGTAGTAGTAGTAGTAGTAGTAGTAGTAGTCGTAGGAGGGGCAGCAGGAGCAGGAGGATTTGGAGGAGCGTCTACTCGGCGTACTCGGATTGGTACACTCAAGCTAACACAGGCAATGGTACTACTGGAATCAATGGCCAAGCTTACATCGCCTGCTGAGCGAGACCGCGCCGCTAGGACACGGGTAGGGGGGGTTAGTTCTTCCGGAGTATTGACCCCCCCCCGCCTCTGGGGGGGGGAAAGAATATGAGGGGGGGGGTTCATACTACAGGAGTATTTGGGGGGGGGGGGGGGGAGGTTCGTAGTCCAGGATCATTCAAGGGGGGGGAGTTCATACTCCAGGAGTATTAAGAGGGGGGGGGGTCATGGTCCAGGAGGGGGGGGTTCATACTCTTATGGAGGGGGAAGATTCATAGTCCAGCAGTATGGAGGGGGGGGTTATATTCCAATATGGAGGAGGGGGTCAAGTTCGAAGAAGGACAACAACAGCGTTTTAGGAGCGTGTTCGCCAAAACACAAGAAGGACAGAGCCACATGCAAACGCATTAGGGGGGCTAAAGCAAGCAAGTACAGTTTATCATGACGATGGAAGGCTTGTAAATGGGGGGGGCTGCGCCCCCCCCAACCCCCCCGCTTGCCTTAGGCTCAACCCCCCCTTGTTTCGAGCCGCCAGGAAAAAAAAAGCGTTCGTCAACACAAGAAGGAAAGAGCCACATGCAAACACTTCAGGGGTTGAAAAGCAAGGAAACACAACTGAGCAGGAATCATTTGGCAGGTTTGCAAAAGGGGAAGGGAAGGGTAAGAACGACAACCCGGGGGGGGGGTGTTGTTTTCTTAAGAATGCGGGGAACAACAAGCGGAGGCGGGGTTGTTGTTCTTTCAAGAGGGAGGGAACAACAACGACTACTACTACTACTACTACTATTACTACTACTACTACTACTACTACTACTACTACTACTACTACTACTACTACTACTACTACTACTACTACTACTACTACTACTACTACTACTACTACTACTACTACTACTACTACTACTACTACTACTACTACTACTACTACTCCTTCTCCTGCTCCTTCTTCCTCACCCGACAAAATACTACAACAACCATTCCCAAAGAGACCCCCCCCTCCCCAAGAGTACGAGTCCCCCCCCCCTCAATAGTCTTGGAATAGACCCCCCCCCCTCAATACTCCTGAAGTATGAACCCCTTCCCCCCCTCAATACTCCTGGAGTATGGACCCCCCTCCCGTCCCCTCAATACTCCCGCATTAAGAACCCCCCCCTCAATACTCCTGGAGTAAGGACTCCCCCCCCCCCTCAATAGTCCGAGAGAACGAACCCCCCCCACCCCGCTAACGGCGCTATCTGTACTGAGCAAGGACAATGAACACAGCAAGGCAGAGAGACTCCGACCTGCCCGAAAGCCTGAAATCCAGTTGGGAGTTTCCGAAAATAGGGGACCCTAATATAGTATCCTAAATAGTAGGATCCTTATTCTAAGGACCCCAAAATAAGGTACCCCCTATTTTCGGAACCCCCCAGTTTTTCTCTGCTATATCTCTCGCCTTCTCCGAGAGCCGGATCTTGTGCTGCATCTTCTTGGACTTCAAGGACCAGTCAGGGCGCTTAGATTTCTTGAGCTCCGTCGGAATTTCGATGGTTCCTGGGCGAAGTTTTCGGGTTCAAGAGCAAGTCTTGTCATGCCCCGAAAACCCCAAGCCCTAAACCCGAACGCCCAAGGAGGCACAGACGCTGCGGAGAGCTTTGCGGGGCTTCCCGAGAGGGCTCAAGGACTCAAAGTTGCGAAGTGCCTTCTGCTTCTTGTAAAGCGGACTAAAAGGCAAGGAAGGGGCAGGTAAGCTGATTGCAGTGTAGAGCACGTTTCGCTTCACGATCGGTCGCCTGTGTTTCTTACCAGCGATGTGGAGCGGGCCGGCTCTGCTGTTGTATCACAGTTTAAACAACCTAGCCCGAGACCCCACCACCACTTCAGCGAAGAGGAAGTTGATGCAGCCGAAACGTCAGAATCCATGCGCCACCCCTGGTCATTCACAGCTCACAGTATCGACTTTTCATTAGTGCAGCTCAAATGGGCATGCGGTTGATCAGCTACATGTAGTACTGATGAAACCGATTTTGTGTTCCTTAGCGCTCTTCGTCGTCGCTGATGTCCGCAGGCTCGTCGACGTCCCTCGGCTCGTCGAACACCCTGAGCTTTGTTGGCAAGACTTGTGCTTGCTTTAGTGCTTCTATGCGAGAAAGGAAAGTCGTCATGACTTCGTCTGAAAATCTGCGGGCCAACATGACAAGCACTTCCAGCTTGACATAGTATGGGAGCGCTTCTGATAAAACATCCAATTCTGATTTCGATAGCTGTCGCAAAAGTAGCATCGTGCTCAAGGCTGCCTTCTCTCGGAATACGACATCATGTAGCTTTTCAACTTCTTCTTGATCATCTCGATGTGTAAACTTCAGCCTCCCCTCCGCCAAGAGCCGCCGAAAAGTCTCTGGCGCACGTGGGGCGGTGTCTGCAATGTCGAAGCCATCGTCCTGGAACAGTGTCCTACCGGCTTCGGTTCTCATTCGCGACCACTGCAGTTCTGCCTGGCACCACCCTCTTTCAGCATAGGGTGTGCGGTTGTGCGTCAGGTTCTCCACCGGCACGCACTGCAAGCTGCCAAGGTCAGGGTGGCATGTGTCTGGGCACCAGTAGACCAGTATTTCGTCACGATGTCCCAACTTGTTTTCAGGACTCAGTTCATCCAAGACAAGGGTGTACGTCTCCTCATGGGCATACAGACAATGCATGCAACGCATGGCCCCTTGAAACTTTTCGACCTCGGACGGGCTCGAGCGGTAGAATTGAGGCAGGGACATGTAGTCAATGAACAGCCATGTTTCTGCTACCGTCTCAGTTTCTCGCGAAAGGAGGTCGATGATTGCATCATTTTGCCAACAGAATGGGTCGGGATGTTGCATCGCCTCCCAGGCATGGGAGACAGCAACTATCTGGTGTCTGCCCTGAAAGAAGACATCCACACCCCATCGTACCATTTCTGCAGTGCTCACAAAGTGGTGCTCCGGTACTTCCTGGCAGCGTGGCCACGCAACCCCTTTCTTGAGGGCAGAACTCTTGACCAAGCGGATGTTGTTCTCCACAAGCATCTTGATCAAGGAGGAACCCTGAAAAAGCACGGACATCTTCGGCCGCTCGCGAGCCTCAAATGCATTGTGATTTAGTGTTTTTTGTGCATGTTCGTGTGCAGATACACGAGAGGCCACTTGAAGGTACTTGCCGTCTTTCTGCACATGAGCTCGGGATCCCACGACATGGATCAAGCCGAAATTATTCTTGGGTCAGCTCGAGTCTAAAACCCTCCGAGTCACACTCCATCTTAAGCCCTATCCACAGCAGAATGCCTGAACATCAGAGGTACGACCACAACCTTTGTCCAATCCACTACAAGACCTTTACCGGTTACCGGTCTCTCACTGCCACATCCGAAACCAAGCAGCGATCGGCCAGGACAATGTCATATCCAGTGTTGCAAACAGCTGCTCATAGCAAGCCTTGCAGCCGAGCGCTCTAATACACTCGTCCGCATTGTCCACATGCACCTGTAAGTCCTCAGCACAAATGGACAGAAACTTCTGGTGGATGCGGCCTTTGGCTCGATACTCCACGCGTAGAAAGGAACCTGCGCAAGCCAGCACACAACCCTTGTGCCAATGTTGATCGGAATGGCTAAACACCAGCACCCGCTTTCCTGGTCTCAGAAAACGGGCTCGAAAACGAGATCGCCGTGCACGACGGATTTCCGCGCGCAGGAAGGAAGAGGAGACCATGGCAAGAATTGCAAAGCTCACTCCTCAACCACTCAAGCCAAAACCCATCGCGTTCTGCGCTGTTGACTTCGCAGGGCCTGAAACATCGGCAACATGCGCAGACACAAAGGCAGCAACGACCTCCATCCCCGCCAGACTAGCCATCGTGAAGATGATGCTGCATCATGGTGACAGCAACCCAAAGAGCATGTCCTAGTGACTGGCTTAGGAAGCCAGTCGTTCGGGATCCTTACGAGGAAAGTTTCGGGTTGTTGGAAACGAGGACCCCTAACAATGAAATCTCAAAATGAACCACTCAAATAAAACCCAAACTGCAACCTTTGAGGGGCTCGACATTTTTGAAGGAGGCGAGCTGCGGCCATTGCTGGCGCAGTCCACGCCGACTTGGCAAATCCCAGCAAGTCCTGGGCTTCTTTGGGCGCCAGGGCTGCAGGGTTCACTTTCGGGTTTAGACACAGGGCTCAGGGTCTTACTATCTTAGGGTTTTGGGGGTGTCGCAGTTTTTGGGCTGTTGGGCTGTTGAGGTTGAAGGCCGGTTGGACGTGGGCTTTGGATTTAACGATGCTTCGCTTGGGTTCGGGATCAATGCTTCAGTGTCTAGGGACATTGGCGTTTTCGGGGATGGGGGTAAAGATTGACTTCTCATTGAGATTCTGGACCTTTGGTCTGCTGCGCCTGGAGCAGTTGAAGCACGCTACGCTGGCGCAAGGCGGGCTTCCCTCTTCGGCTGAGGTCTTCGTGTCAGACGAGTGTCGGAGTGCATGCTCTCCATCGAAGCCCTCCTCATCCACCCAATCCCTTCGTTTGTTGTCCGCTTCGCGAAAGACCTGATGTGACCGAGCCTCAGCAGTTCAAACGTGGGCTGTAAAGGAGAATTGATTGCACCAAGGGCTTCAAGGAGATCAAGATGACCCAGGCACGCTGAAAACCTTTCAGGCGAGGCTCAGCCATCTCCAGCTCATCCAACATCAAGCCCGGAAGCTCTGCGAGAGAAACCTTCTGCACACGACTGGAGGGATCAGGGTTGTCAAAGCAGGATTACAGTCATTATGGTAATTTAGACTTGGTTCAAGATAATAGACCCTAAACCCTCATTTGGAATGCTTTTGCTCCGACTTCTGAAGTATCCGTGAACCTTAGATATTGTGGGGTTTCGTGCCCTGATGAATCCTGGAAGCAGGGTTCCGTCCGGTGCGTGAAAATTCGTTCTGCAGCATCTACGCAGTGAGCGTTCTTGGTGGTTGCGGATTGAGGCCGCCTCACGCATGTCATGCAGTCTCGGAGTTTGGGGGGAGCTGATCCGAAACCTCCAAGCCCCGGCGACTCCAATGGTCATGCTTAAACATTAAGCACAGTAGTAGGAATGGTAAGAGGCACCGTCAAAGCTCATAAACACACTAGAAAACACTCTAGGAGACTTCGAAAGTCGCCTCCTGCAGAGTCTTCTGGCTCCGCTCCTCAAAGCTGGCATCCTCCACGTGAACCACGGAAGGAACCACTTGATCCACAATCCTAAGTGCAGAAACTCCAGCTATCCCATGGTCCCTGGAGTTTTGACCGGGGATTCGAAGCTAGGGCATAGTCATTTGGTAACCCATACTGCTCTCCCGAGAAGGAAACCTGGCCTACGGGATACGGGAGCATCTGGGAGTTAAGTGTTGACGCACAGAAAAACACGGAAGCCGGGCATCTCCTGATCCCAAATCAGCAAAACCTGATCTCCGTCATGGTCTCCGCCCATGACCTGCTCCCAAGACGACAACAGAACCCACGAGCAAAAGGCCCGAAGTCGGACTTTCAACAACTGAAGGTGCCCGATTGTAAGGCCCCCCTCCCCTCAAGTGTCGGAAAGTTATGCAGATTCTTGTAGGAAGCATGATGACCCGCAAAGGGCATGCTTTTTCTCGAAAGCACTCACGGCGGAGTCTGTACCATCAGAACGCATGCGCGCCATCGCCAAAATAGTGTTATCCTTATTGCTTGTATCTAGTTTTGCCCTATGTTGGTTAAACATGTGTGCATAAGTCAAAGAGTTTCATGCTCCAGTCTATATATGCACCTACTTGCCTACCTACAACCTACCTACCTATACGTGCGGTAGGATTATTGCCGCTCGGCTTGGCACTGGCTTCTGTGATCCCAGGCCTCGGCATCTGCCGGCTGCTGTCGGGAGCTGCACGCATTCAAAACGACCACATTCACCATGTGAGAGAGGCCTCCAGGAAACATGATATGCGAAGAGCAGTACTGGTTTTTATCAACACTAGCAATAGCAATCATGCTGAAAGGTGAAAGGAACCGTACTTGTCCCAGAAAGTGTTGATCAAGCATACCACAGCGACCGAGCAGAAACGACAAGTAAACAGTCGCAAAAGGAACCGACTCATTTAAAGCAAGCCGAGCACCGCACACAAGTTCACCCTTCTTCCACCCAAGATAGGTACACAAGAATGTCCTGCACACGTGCATAGATCGATAGATGGATAGATAGATATACTATGGCGCACACATGCATGCATGTATGCATACACACCCATGCATCCTACTTACATACAGACATACATCATACATACTTACAGAAATGGCTGTCCTTATGCGTGCAGGCATTCCTCTCAGTGTCTTCACCTCGCTATGTATACTAATATTTAAAAAGTTTTGTTGTTGCTTTGTGTTTAAAACAGCTATACCTGTTGCATTATTAAGTATGTCTGTTGCGTGTGTATCCAATATAATTATATGTGATGTTAATGTATTATTGTATGATATGTCTTTTCTCTGTAATGATGAAATGCTACTGTTAAAATCTACCTGTGAAACACCGCCACTGTTTGTATTCACATATTCTATTGTTGATTGATCGTTGATTTCACTGTCGCCTGTTGAAGATGACAGATAGATTTTGTCAGTATAAATAGAGTTCATATTGTTTATAGAGGCCATTATTATATTAAGTAGATACTATTTAATGTAATAATGTTTTATTGATGTTCATCCTCCTTCTTCTGTTGCCGTTTCTCTCGTCTTTTTCTGTTTATTTCTTCTTTGTTCGCTTCGTAATATGCTTTCTTCTTGTCCTTGTTTTTGTCTGCCCATTCCTTTTTGTATTGTGCAATTTTTTCTTTGTTTGCTTGTCTATATACTTTGTCATATTCGGCTTTTTGTTCTTTGTGTGTGTGTGTGTGTGTCTGCGTATTCTTTGATTTTTTGCTTCTTCTCTTCAATATTGTCATGGTAGTTTTTGTTGCTCTTTGCTTTCATGTATTCTTTATTGTCTTGATAATGTTGCTTTCTGTCTCGTCCTTCTATTCTTCCGTTTAGGGTGGCCATTTCTCTAATAAAATACCCTTCTCTTGCTCTTAATTGATCGTTGTTTTCACAAGGGTATTCTTCTATGAGTTCTATGTAAAATTTATCAACACCTAGTTCATTCATTTTTCGGTATAACGTTAGGTTGTTTTTTACATCCCATTTTGTATCACTTCTATGTTTCGCCATTCTTTTACTCAATGGTTGGCAGGTTGAACCTACATTTATGTCATTGTTGATAGCGTTTCTGATACAGTAAATTTTACCATTTTGGAAATCTTTACTCATACTATATATTACTATAACATACTATTTCTTTATAACATTTTATAGCACAAAATTTAACTTGGTAAGCAATTAATCTAAAACCGTGCTGGCACTCTCCGATAATTCAAAAATGTGTTCTGAAACCATAGTAACAAACACTCGTTCAATTCCTAGCGCAAACTTTGCATTGGCTCCTTTGATTTTAAAAGTGATTAAGGAGCCCATTTGAGTGTTGGAACCTGTGAAATTCATATCGGGTTGCTTATCGAAATTTATACCGCCAATAAACTTATCGTTAGCATATTTGTAAATGTCAATACTGAAACCATCATAATGAGGCGACATAACATTAACAGCTCTACGAAGGAAATACAAAAAATCTGCTATGCTTGTGATTTCTTGCTCGGGGAATTTCTTATTTGCTATTTGGATCTGCGCAGATATTTGTTTATCGCTGTTGATCACACCTTCTAAATTATCAATCGTGACAGCCATAGGATGGAAAAAGTAATTCCATTTTTTCTTATCATAATTGCTTGCGGTATTATCATTATTAATTGAGCTATTACTGAACGTAAAAAACATTTGAGATAATCGTGTAAAAGATTTAACGATGTTCATATTAATTTCTTCGTTTCCTAAGGCAAAGGTTTGAGAAAAACTGTGATAGGCGGGATAAACCATTCTAAGCCTACCCCCTTTCAATAAATGTGAAACTATGTTATTGTTGACGGTATTGTCGACGCTTCTGCATTCTAGTCTCAAAATCGCATTCTGAATAGCCCACGATGTAGTGGTATTGCGTGTAGTAAAGAATAAACCGTTTACATCATCTTCTAACTGTGTTCCTGCTACTGGTGTTGCGGGTCTGATTACTGGTTCTCCTGCGTCTGAAACGATTTCGAAAATAAACTCTAACGGACAATACCGAATTGGAGGGTAATATCCAGATTGAACGAAGCCACAACAAGGCTTATGACCCATCCGAACGAATTTACCCTGTTCAATACCCGTTGTGTTTGCTCGTGTTAATTTTGGTAAAACAATACCACGCTCGTTTTCTCCTACGTTTGCCGTCGCGTCATGCCCTTCTATGACTTGTGCAAAAAGTCTATTAATTCTACTGTCGTAGCGTGTTAAACATCCTTCCTGAATATCGTCTAAATTTCTTACTTCTTCAGACTTAAATGATTTCATTTGTTCACATACTTGATTGTAATTATCAACGTCGTTTACTTGTTGCCCGTTAGCGTTGCATCTGTAACGAGTAAAAAAGGCATGACTTTCTTCTAAAGGACGTAAATATTCTCCTGGTGTCGTAGATGTATTTACCAGATCAAAAAACAAACATACGCTAGACAGATCTACATAGGTATTATCCTCGCCTGTAACTACAAACTTCAAATATTTATTTCCGTTAGAGGCACTGAAAATATTTCCAGATACGCTAGGATAATGCACTTGCTTACGATCTGTGATATACGCGGCACTTTCAGGCAAACCAAATTGAAAAGAATTTATCATATTAGGTTCTGTTTCAGCAATAACTAAATCCATTTTATATATATTATTTAGTTTTTTTATTATTACTATATTTTTTTATGATTATGTAAATTCTTATTATCATTTTTATATGTTTTATCACCTTGCGGTAAAACAGTAATGGCTTGCTCGTCCCTATCTACAATGCTTCTTATGGTTTCATATGACGAATTGTTTAACTTCTTCGTTAACGCGTTTTTGAATTGGACGCTCTCAGGTGGTTTGCCTACCCTTTTGGGTTCTTTAGGTTTCTTCGGCTTGTTAAAGAACATATTGTATTGACTTAGATTATTATTTAAAACCATCCCACTTCAGGTATGCTTTCATCAATATTCATTAAGCCATCTATATCGTGATTTTTTACTGGGTTTAAACTATCAGTATTATAGTTAATAGCCGCACCGTCTAGACTACTAACAATGTCACCGGTTTTTCTAAATCTTTTGTGTTCCTCCGTAGGTTTATCAAGTCCAAATATAGGGGCGATTAAACTTACTACGGGAGCATCATACGTTCTAGTTTTTAGGTTTCGGTCGGGAAATTCTTTATTCAGTTCTGAGGCAACAGATCCGCCCATGCTGTGCCCGAGAACCGTATCAACTTGGGGATTTTCTAAGAGAACCTTTCGCGCTTCCTTATACCTATCATATTCCTAATTCGTCCAGTTTTTAGCATTGTAAAATTCTGCTTCCAATCATTAGCGGAAGTTGTGCCACCTATATACATTTTGTTGTTCCTAACAAGTATTTTGTTATTATTATCATACGCTAACCTTATCCCTTGCACGTTAGATATTTTGTTATTATCGTTTAACATCTTGTTTATTTTCGTTTCTATCTTAGACATTATATTAAAAGATTATAAAATATTTTCAAATAATTTTAACAACAATATTATTTTGTCTGTTCATTATATAAAGGATGACAGAGAAAAAACTTGATCGAGCTGGCGGCATTCGAGATGATCTCCTCGGCCAGCCAGTTTTGGAAAGGGGAGATCTCCCTGTCATCGCGATTGTCGATGACGAGGAGGGAATTCTTCGTCTCGTCCTCCTCCTCGACCCGAGCTGCCGAACGAACTCCGGTCGCTGAACAGCGAAGGGGTTGTGGGCGGCTGGAGCTCCACGGTCACGACGCCCTCGACGATCGTCGCGACCCCATCCAGAGCCCCAATCGCCGGATGCGGCAGCAGGAGCCGCCGGGTTCTCAGGAGCCTCCGCTTCACCTGGAGTGTAGAACCCCCAGGTTCCAGGATTCTCGCCCTAACCGATCCTGCGGGGCAGTCCGAACTGCGGGACCTGCTGAGCCGCCGGGCGATGTCCCTGAAAAGGGCCCGCAGGAGGGAACGACATGGCTGCAATCGAGCGAACCTATTCACTTTCACCTCCCACGCCGAATTTTTCGGTATGGCCCGATCGGCTGTCGCCAAAATGGCCACGGAAAACACATGATCACGTCTGTTCTAACGATCGCGAAACTGATCTCCTAATTCCTACCCACCAGACATTAGGAGACATAGAGAAAGAGAGATATATGAAAGAGATGCCTTTTGGGTCTACTATGCTCTCTCTCTTTTGTCTTTAACTTTAAAATTTAATTAATCTTGCGTGGGGATTTGATCTTGATGATGTTCCTTGTTGCTCACCCCACCGAGCTAATGAATAAGAGTGTGGTTGCCCTCAACAGACTCGATAATCTATCACCTTCACGTCCACGCTCAAACTCTTATCCCTGGCAGGCAGATTCAGAGCTCGCTTGTTTGAAACTTTGTGAACGGCGATGAATCGTCTGTGCTCGGGATGACTCTGTTCCTCAGAAAGGTCACAGAAGACAATAAGCTATTCTAAGCTTTTGGCATCGGTATCTAGAGCTTGTGCTCGTTCTTGAGCCAAAGTTGCGTAGGCGGCATAGGAATGTAAAGTGTAGCACTGTGGTACGCGAAGCGTTACCCAGGCGTCCACTTACAGTCGAGGTACGTGAAACGTTCCCCCGCTCTTGACTATACAAGTCATCGCTCATAGATCTTATCGTGACACCACAGAACTTGACTGGGCATCGCAGTCCGTTCACACCCCCCATGAGTTGTGTCTCCGACACTGCTC